ATCCAGACTTTTTTCTTTGCTTTGTCGCTTCCCTTAAGAATGATGACAACCTAACACTAACTTCTCTCTCCCCAGCCATAAAACAAGTTTAAATTCCTGTAGTGCCAGGCAGATAATCAAGGCTGGAAACACAAAGAGTGACATGTCGCAGCTGTGCTTCCCCTTTCCACGCCTCAAAAGGCATGTAGAATTTTGTTGACCATCAGTGGGTAGGATCACTGTCTAGCTCTATTTTGGGGTACACTAACCATAGATTAGCTCTCCCAGGGAGGGGTGGAGAGCCAAGACAAATACCCAATCTTCTCTTGGCAACTCAAATGGTAAAATGTTGTGAATTAGGCCAGATTTGTCCTCTGAGTCTGCAGCTGACCCTTTCTGAAGTTATTCCTTTCCTCACTGTATACACATTTTCACTCTGTTAATACTTGCTTTTAAATCATCAAATATCTTCCATTGATAATTGAACATGAATGAGTATGAGTCCATAGGTCACCTCTCTTTTAAGCATTTACATGTTAAATTTGTCTCTGCATGTCAAATGAAAGGCTTTATCCCTGGTGAAGAATTTTTTTATACATTAGCAAGATATGTGGGGTACAGTAAGAGCAGAGACCCTTTCCACGGTCCCTGAAGAATCATGTCATGGGTGTGGCTGAAGAACTTTGGGTTATAATGAAGTAAGGGTCAGAATAAACCAGGACTTAATGATAGCAGATACCATCTGTAAGGAAGGGGTGAGCAGGCACCTAAAGGAAAATAAGTTCTGATGGAAATAAGGTTTGTCTTCAGTGCTCCCCTTGCCTCACTTCTCTTTTAAAGATCAACCTCCCTGACTTGGAACCTCATACTCCACAGGCTCTCCTTGGGGTAATCAGGGCTCTTCAGTTGTCCAATTCAGAGCTTCACCAGCATGCAATCTTTATTCTCCATGCTGTTCCTCCATCCTTTTTCTCTTTATCAAATTTTATTTGTCCTGTGTCCCATTGTATCAGTGTGCTTTCCACTGCTGTGTCATATGAAACTATAACTTGATTATCATTGTTAATAGGATTCCAGGATTTAAGATGCAGAGTTTATCTTAAATGAAGCAGGGAGTCTCATGTTGAGAATCTCAGCTTCTGGGAGAGGAGGAAGATATTTGGTAACGAAGCCTACAGGATTAATAAGCTGTAAGTCATCCTTAAGTCAGTCTGTAAGTATTGTCAGTACAGCCTTGTGGGGGATACAGACAACTAGACGTGGCCCGTGGCCTCAAGGAGTTTGCAGTTAAGCAGAATAGGATACGGATTCTTGGCTGCCAAAAACTTGCACCCACCACTTTAAATAATCATATTTTATTATGGTAGGTTTTAGCATATGACTTCAAGGGACCAAGGCTCAGGAAAGTAAACTAGTTTCTTCTAGTTCTATATAAATTATGAGTGAAGGAGTCAGGATTTGAATTCAGGTCTGATGGTTCTGAACCATTGTTCTTTCCTGCACTCCATACTGTGATGGAACCAAGAGACAAGAGAACACCAGCGGTGCCAAAAAATGTACACATTTAAGAGCTGTGATCTATGTATTACTTTTCGAAGTTGAATTGAATTACGGTAGCAATGTGCAGTGTGACTTTCGCTCAAAAGATGGCGTTCATCAAACGAATGCTAGCATCATTCATTGTATTAGAATTTTAATACAGCGTTTTCCTTTCGTAAAATGTGTATGCATTATTTTGGCTCCCTCTGTAGACAGAGAAGAGAGTGACTGAATGCTGTGTGGAACTGGTGTGGCCTGCGATGCGGGTTTAAAGAAAGGGATGAGCCCAGTGCCTGGGGAGCTAAGAGGAAACTTTTCAGGAGAACTGGGAAGTGGTGTTCCAGTAAGAGCTGGGAAACTATGAAGGACAACATATTTATTCGATAGTGGCTGGAAGAAGAGAGGTCTTTCCAGGTACAGTGACCAGTTGAAGAAAAGGCTTGGGAGTAGGAACAAAAATGTGCTGGAGGCCAAAGCGGACAGACTTGATTAAGGAAATGAAAATTATTCTTTGTGGGCCGCCTTCTCTTTTACCTCATCTTAATTCATCTGAGGGAGCGAGGACCCAAGCAGGAGAGGGTTCCCCTCTTAGGGATAAGAGCTCAGCAAACCCAGCCTTCCCTGCAGTCTTACCTGGAGCCGAGAGCAGGCTGTTCAGGGTCCCCAAGGCCTTTTCTCGGAAGTCCCTGAGGAGGCAGGTTGTGAACTTCCGGGAGGAAAGATGAGGGATCCAGGCAGCTCTTTTTCCTTTTTGGCATCCTGGCCAGTTTCCATTTACATAACACAGCCTAATCCACAGAAACAGGAGCCATGAGGTAGGTTTTTTTCTCTTTTATTCCTCTCCAAGACACAGAAACCTTTATTTTCTCCCTATACCGCAAACCAGTGCTGTTAAATAATATTGGATAATTGCACCTGTCGTACTCCCCATATTGTGCTGAGGAAAAATAATTGCTGGTTTTCTGCTTTGCAGTTTAGCTGTGACTCCGTCATTTGACTTGGAGCATGTCATTTTCTCCCTTTTTAGACTGTGTACAGTCAGACTCTGTGAAAGGACTCACAGATAGCGGCCCTGCGTGTGTGAGTGGGCGCGAGCCTCATTCAGCAATGATTTCTAATTTATACAGCATTGAAAATCCACAGCTATAAATAAACAGTTCTGACTGGCTTTGCTGCCTATTCAAATGCTTTATTAAAAAAAAAAAAAAGAGCTACCAACTGCATAAAAAAGGAAAACAATGTCTGGATATGGACTCTGGTTTCTGACACTTCCCCCTGGGAGGGGTGCCACCCAGATTTGGGATGGGTTCAGTCCTCAGTCAGGTGGCCTGCTGGGAGCCCTGTCTTCACCTCGGTCCTTCCTCAGCCTCCTCTCACTCCCCATGTGCAGGCACAACATGTTTGTGGGTTACAATATATGAAACTGACTTCCTGTTATGACAAGTATTGTGAGTAGGTGCAGAGGAGCTAGAAATAGCTTGAGAAATGTATGACTCTTTTTTGGGAAGGGTAGGGCTAATGTATTGTGTAGACAAACAAGATAAGTCTTCCCCTCAAATTCAAAATTGGTGTCACATGTGAGGTAGCACCTCCAGAACATAAGCACAGGTTTGGACCAGCCCATGAGGCAATGGTGGTGCTCCTCCCACAGCCTGTACGGATAAGCCTTCCCAAGTTGGTTTCCAAGGAACGTGGGCTCAGGAATCAACCGTGTCTGTGACTGGATCAGTCCTTTCCCTCCTCTGAACCTGGTGCCAGGCTGAAGCCAGCTTGTACAGGCTCATGAGGACCAAGTGGCTGTTCCTATCTCTTCCCAACTCTGCATTCAGTGACTTGTTGGTAGCTTGAAACCGGCCATGGCAAAGTACTTACACAATGGAAATGGGTAAACACTATACATCAGGGCCTTAAAATTTTCTTTCTTCCCGAGAGTTGGTTTTTAAACATGTACCGGCACACTAATATCAGGAACTCAGTTTGCTCATTTGTAAAAGAGGACATAATACATTTTCCACTTATAATATTTTTGTGAAGGCAAAATGAGATCATGGAGGTGAATGTGGCTGCAAATTACATGACACTATACAAATAGCATTGCTGGTTATCTCATGATTTGGTTTGTTTTGTTGCTTTCTAACCATTAATGGCCTAACCCAGCCTATATAGGCACTGCATACCTTTTAATGAATGTTTAATCGATGTTCTGTTTTGTTGCTTTTCTCTTTCTTAAGCCACAGCATCACCAGGGAAGCACTTGTGTGCTAATGTATGTGCTCAATGGGAAATGGTTCTGAGGTATTTCTGGTATTGGAATAGATACCACACAGTGGCCAGTTATGCAGCAATCCCGGTTTAATGTGGTCCTGGGGACAGTAAAACTACAAATAGAAATCTGCAGGCTCATCCCAGCCAAGAGCTTACTATGACTCTGAGAACTAAGCAGCCCAAGGTATCTTTGGGGTGTGGAAAATTCGGGTGATCCCCTGTGGGCTTCATATTTGGGAACTTGCCACTGTGACAACTGCTTCTGGGCTCCGGCTGAGACCAGGTGCTTGGAGCAGTCAAGAAGCAGAAGGTATAGGAAAATAGTGGGTGTTCCCAGCTCAATCCCATATGGCTTGAGACTCATGTTATATGATAGTAGAGGAGCAGGGAGCAAGCAGGTTTCTTGGCCTCACCTAGTCTTCCCTTGTACTGCCTCCCCTACTGGTCTAGCCTGCTCTTTTCCCTAACCCTTCAAGATGGCTGTAGATATTTTTGAGGTATTGCTGGTGTTGAAATAGATATTGCACAATAGTCAGTCATGCAGCAATCAAGGCTTAATTTGGTCCCAGGGATAGTTTTTACCACATTTTATTCATTTTTACTAAATTTCTCCTGTATAATGTTAGGCTGAGAAGCCCAAGTACAATTTATTCTGGTGCCCACAACTCAACTCACCTGGGCCTAATGACATACCAATAGATTTGAATATGTGTACCGACCACTAGACATTTGTCATTTGTGTTCTTTACAAAACATGCCTGTAAATAAAGACCTGGAAAATTCCACTAGAAAAATCAAAGCAGAGCTCATGAATGTGCTTGCTAATCACCTGACAGTCAACTTTGTTAAACTACAAACTAACTCAGCAAAGTGCTTTGTGCCAAAACACTCTCAGCAGTCCTTGTAATCATATCACTTCCCATTTAGACTGTTCTTCAAGTAAAATATACAGCATTTATTTGATGAATTAATCAAAACTCGAATGGAAGAGATTTTTACAATGTCACCATGGTCAGTGTTTATACCTGCCCTGAATGCTTGCTCACAAGAGAGAGGGACAGATTTCTTAATATTTTTTATAACTTACTTTGTCATTGCCCCAAATAACTTGCTATCATACCATACTAAGTAGAGAGACAACTAGGTAGCAGCCATCTCCCTACATGTCTATCTAGATTGAGGAAAACAAAAATAGATGAGCAATCCATGAAAATAACTAGCTTAGAAAAATGTTTATTTTTAGGAAACTTGGGATTATTCAAAAATGGCACAGGATCTGGAGTTACAAGGTCTGGGACACAAAAGCTATTGTCTCGGTCTAACACTTGGCCTCATGCAAGTAACTTCTCACCTAGGCCCTCAGCATCCTCTGTGAAGTGAGCCGTTTGAATAATGGTAAATTCTTTACTCTGTCTAAACATTCTCTAACACCCAGTTTATGAGTTTCTTTGGCCTACGGCCAGATTTTGACCACAGACTATCCTCCACAGAGGTTACACGAAGGTCACAAATCCTGACACAGCAATAGCTGATTTTAGCCCAGTAAGTCTTTCAAAAAACCAGGAGTCCTCAAATTAAGCCATCTTTATAATTCTCTTGTTTTCTACTTTCATGTGTTTCTCCACCACCTCTCACCACCAAAAAAAAAAAGGAACAAAAAAATTTCATGTTTTCTTCCTCCTTAGTTCTTGGAAAATGGCATGTAATCACTTCCTCTTCTTCCTCGGCTGCCTCATGTCACCTGTGCAAACAAGAACAGAGACTTCAGACTTCAGGTTTTCCCTAACAGGTATTCTTGTACAGGCGGCTATTCACCCTGACTTGGGGCAGTGGAAAGTCAAGAACACTTTTCCCAAGGCAAGAAGATGTACTTTAAGGAGTTCCATAAAACCACCACCATTATTGCAAGGGCAGGAAGCCACTCTGTGGTCCCCCCTGGGTGCTTGGTTCACAGTAGCCCATTGGCTGGTGGTGCCAGTGGTTTTCATATAGCTCTGAATATCTAATATGAACCACTGATTGCTGTTGATTTGGGCCACATGCTTGCAGTCAGTGCACAATCCATCAACAAACTTTGAGACTTTGTATATGGAGACAAAGAGACCACATCAAATTAGAGAGGAAATAGAAGAGTGAATAGTCACGTAATTAGGGGTCATTCCGTGAGCTCTCACCACATCAACTTATCAGCCTGGGTGGAAAAGTACTGGCATACTGATTAGTGTTTAGTAAGCTCTTTAAAGAATCTTTATTCAACTGAAGTTATATCATCAGATTTCTAGAATGACTTCCATCCAGCCAACAAGTTGTTACCCCATATTTAACAATCACAATTCCCCTGTTTCCCTGATAATAAGACTTAGCCAGAGAATAAGCCAAAGCACGATTCTTTCAGGATATGGAGGGCACGCACCCCTCACATGAGGGTTTTATGACCTGTTTCAGGGAGAAGGGTGCCCTTTCCACACACTCCTTCAGCTTAAAATATTCAGTATGCCAAGATGCCATAATTTGGCACCTAAAATCATGCTACAGCTTATTTTCCAGCTAGGTCTTATTTTCAGGGAAACAGGGTCTTTGCATGAGCTTTGAAATTTCTAAAAGTTCATTAACTCATTGTCTCGTCTATTGGCAAATGCTATCAATCCCCCTTTGAAAGCTTTTTCCCACTCAGCTTCTTCTTGTCCATCCTGGCAGTTAGAGTTTTGTTAGTTCCGTCTTAGTATTACCACAGCAATCTCCTTCTCCTAATTTCATGCTTCACCTTTTAAATGCCACCCCCCCCCCACCATCTCACACACACACACACACACACTTAAATTATATCCTTAACAATAAATATTAAATATTTTCCTAACTTCATTTTGCTGGAACTCCTCTTCTCAGGGGCTTTAGTGACCGATAACTTGAAGCCCTGCTTGTGATGCCCTCATTACACTGATTTTCTAGGACAGCCATCTCCCCATCACACAGCACTCATGGCCGTCCCCGTAGTCATGTCTCTCGACATTTGTAAGGATAGTCCTCTCTTTTGTTCTTCCAAACCTCATCAGTTCAGACTACCCCCCGCCCCCCCGTCGCTCTAGCAAAGCCTTACTAATTTACCCAGCTTTACAGGGTTCAGGTTCTCTTTATTTCTGCTTCCACTTATTTTTCACTTTTAATGTGCATTTTCTCCTTCCCAGTCAGGTTTTCTCTCCATTAGGTCTATAAGTACAAACACAGCGCCTTCTCTGTAGTATATACTTTGGGTTTTTAATGAATCATTTTTTGGCTAAGTGACACATTAATTCCCTCATGGTCAAGAGCTTGGTCAATATAAACTTCTCAAATTTCTTCCCCCTGTAGTCACTCTGAGGGCTCTGAAAACTTTCTTGACGCATGTTGTTTAGCAATCCCCAGTGCTCTGAGTCTGTCCTCATAACCTCACTCCTTCATCCCCAGGTGCCAAGGATTAGAGACTCTGTCTCCATATAAGAAACACAACAGAACATGAAGGCTTAGAGAGAAGCAGCAGAAGAGGGAGTGGGCGTAGCAGTGGGAAGTCCCTTTGGGCGAGGAGAACAGGTGGCTCCTTCCCTTGGGCCAGAGTGTCTTATATTCAGCACTAAGCAGCTAGACAGAGCACCTCATAGTCACCCAAGCGCTAGAGAAGGCACTGGCCCCAAATGTGTCTCTGTGGGGAGCTGCGGCAGTCATTTCAGTTTAGAAACTCACATGGTGTAGATATAATTTTTTAGAAATATTGGGTTATCGGAAAAGTCATGACATATTTTTTCTGTTTTTCGTTGCTAAAATGCATCATGACTTTTCCGACAACCAAATAGTATTTTCCTTTCTATTTCTAGCAGGTGAGGGTGGGCATTAGTTTTGCATCCTCCTGGGGCTGTGCAGTCACTAGTCCCCTTTGAGTCTTCAGAATGTCTTTCCTACCACGTTTTCATAGTGCATGGTTGGAGATAAGGAAACTGTTGACTTAGTAATAGATTATATTATCTTACCCAAACAAAGTTCATAAAATGGATTTCGAACTCTGATTGGGAAATAATGTTGTTATCACTCTTTTCATTGAAGGGACTTTTTCTCAATAGAACACCTCCCAGTTGCCTGTTAGGGAGTTAGGTCCACTCCTGACTTACTTTAGTCCTTTCTTTATCCCCTATTAGATAGTACCAAGGAGTGGAGATATTTTAGGCCAAACATTTAATGTTCGTCGTGTGCGAGATCCAAACATTTTCTGTTGGCATGGTACAGGAACCATTCTTGCAATCAATATCACTATGGATACTATATGTGATGATACACCTTTTTATTCCAATAGTCAGAACCCAGAGGAAGTAAAAACATATTATTCACAGAGATTTACACCTATGTTTCTACAACCACAAAAGTTACTGCTAGACTTTGAATTGAAAATTGGAAGAAGATTTGCCTAGCTTTAGCGGGTTGGCTTGGAAAAGGTGAGAAGGCAGATGGTTGGGGGTGGGGTGGGTATGAGGCATTAGAGGAATGAGATTTGAGCACTGATGAGCACAATCACAGTGCAGAAGTAGCAAGAAGGAGATGGAGCTGAGGGCTGGCTGGAGAAACCTTCATGGGGAAAGAGGCTGAGGAAGAGGGAGACATGATAATCCAGAGTGGACAGTCTTTGTGTTTAGGGAGATGAAGTTAGGACGAGTAAGGCAAAAATGCTTTAGAAATATTCGTGGAGTTATCTCATGATGAGATTTTTATCATATGAAATGATCGAGGACAAGATGCAGGGCAGATCTTATAACAAATTTCTTCTTGGATAAAACCAAGGAGATAGACTAGATGGTCTCTAAGCCGCATTTAACAATAAAATCTCCTTTTTAAAAATTCGGCTCTAGGGCCGGCCGAGTGGCGCGATGGTTAAGAACTCGCTTGGGATACCAGAGGGCCCCGGTTCTAATCCCACATATGAGGGCCAGTGACACTGCCCTCCACAGCTAAGATGCTGAACAATGGCTCAACTTGGAGCTGGGCTGCCCTGAGTCGCCGGCGACGGCGTAGGCTGCAGCCCCTGCTGCAGTGGGTTGCCATGGGCAACCGTGTGTAGCCAGCAGCCAGCGTGAGCGGCCAGCAGCCGCAGTGAGCGGCTGTCCAGAAGCCGGCAACTGATCTGCCTTGCCCGGGAAGAGCGCAATGATGGTGCCAACTTGGGCCAGTGAAGCAACATCCTCCACAACTAGACTGAAGAACAAAAAATGACAGCAACTTGTCTGTTCCCCTTCCCCCAATTCCCTTGCACTGTTCCCATTCCCCCAATTTCCCAATAAAAAAAAATCTTTAAAAAACAAATTCTGCTCTAAAGCAACTAGTATGAAAGGAAGGTTTTAATGTCATTCTGCCCAAATGACCATCACACGGTTATTTGGCCAGACTGGGATTTTCAGCTTATAAACTATCTTTTGCTGGAAAAGGATCTATGGTCTCAGGTCCCAGTACATATCCCTCAGGAAGGTAAGGAGAGAGGTCATGAGCCATAAGCTGACTGCCTTGCTGGCCACAACTACTACAGATAAGAGGCCCCCCCATTTTGGCCTGGAGGCACGTAGCCTCATATCCTGTGTCTGATATATCTTGTGGGTTGCCTTTCTCTTCATGATGGACTTGTGTCCTGCTGTCAGCATTCTTGTGTCTCATCAAGAAAATAAAAAGAAAATTAAGTACTTAAGTGGCAGAGAAGGGGACCTAATATGGAGACCCCCTGATGGCCTCTTTCTCTCAGTCAGGATGGAAAGAGTCTGTTTGGGTATGCCCAGGTGCTCAGGCATGGTGGGCCAAGCTTGCAATGATCTGCAGAACCTGCTTCCTCCTCTCTGCTTCCATCATTGTTGGAACTCTGCCCCAAAAATAGAAATTGAATCTTTGCTGGTGGGTATCTATCTGATCCTAATAACTGACTCAGTGCTTAACCAGTCCTCTATCCCATGACACATCAAAGCTATTATAGTATAGGGCAGGGAGTGAGATGGTGACAAGTCATGCAAGGTGGCTCTCTGAAACATCTTGAGAGCTTTTTGAACATCTTCTTGAAGGCCAGCAAGACCTTCCTGAGGATCTGACAGCATCTGCCCCCTTGGTGCTCAGCTGCCTGCATATACATACCCCTGACAAATGTCGCGCACTTCCCAAGTTTACATTTGATTCCTGGTACCATCCTTTATTCCTGCCCTTCTCACTCTCCTCTTCATTTTCACCCACTGACATAACGCACGAGGAGATAGAAAATGGGTAGATATTCAACAACTGTGGCCATCACTACTGGCACCCTTCTCAGCCACAATGGATAAGATTGCTTGTAGACACAATTTCTAAGCTGAGAGGAGTCCTGGTTCCTGTGGAATACAGGGCCTTGTCCTCAGACCAGCAGCATCAGTCTTTCTGAGGTATAACAGGAGGACAGAATCCCAAATTATACTCTGGATTTACTGAATGAGAACCTACATTTTAACAAGATCCTTATTTTAGCTAGATTTGTAGGAAAATACAAGTTTGAGAAGCACAGCTGTGATAGTGGCTCTTGACTCTGACTGCAAATTAAAATAGCTGGGAAGCTTTTAAAAATACCCATGTCAAGTCCCTGTTTCCAGAGATGGGTTTAATAGGTCTGGGGTAGACCTGGGAGTTAATATTTTTTTTAAAATGCCCAGTGATTTTTATAATGTCCAGTCAAGGTCAAGAACTACTGCTAGAAAGATACCTTCATATTAGATGGATATTGACTGATACTTCTTGACCACTTGGTACTTGGCTGGTGACTTCCAATTGGGCCACACTGTGTCTTGGGGTTTCAGAAGCAGAGATTCAAATTAATTCTAGCCTCAGTTAGCTTGACCTCTTATTTCACTCTTTAAGTTCTTCAGGAACTGCACTATCTTAGTCAATTTGCATTCAGTTAGGTGGTTGTTACTTTTAGTTGCCTTAGCTAGGGAAATTGGTAATTTATACATAAAATCAAAGGGGAGGATTGGAATATCCACATAGAAAAGCAGGTTACTGAGTTTTGCTGGAGGAGAATCAGATTAACAGCAATAGTGACTACCCCTGTATGCCAGGCCCTGTTCTTGTCGTTTGACATTTCCCAAGTCATTTATGGTCCTCCAGTATCCTAGGAGGTGGGTACTAATATTGTCTCCATGATGCACAAAAGAAAAGTGAAACAAAAAGACATTGAGTGCCTTGCCCAGTGTCACAGGTCTACAAGCGGTAAGGACAAGATAGGAACCCAGGCAGTCTGGCACAGAACTTTTCTCTAACCGCTGCTTCCCGTGGCATCACCAGTGCACTCCTTTAAATTTCTGTTTTCACCCAAGAAAGCTCAGGCTGAACAATGAGGTAAGAAAGTAGGGTTAGCTCCTGATTTGGACAGAGTTGGTGGCTACGTACATGTTCCCATGGATCCAGAACAGGTTTTGGAGAGGAGCTCAGGGATAGAGGAACCATACAATTGATTGTCTAAACCTAAATGATACCAAATTATATGCACACTGGCACAGCAGGCATTAACCAGGACCAAACTGAGATGTGTAGTTGCCCTACTTAGTGGTCATCTTATCACTGGAGGTGAATGGTATTGACACACGTTACACAGTTGGTTTTTGGACAGGTGAGGAACATACCCTAGTTTTCTTGATTTCTATTCCAGTGTTCTTGCCACTGTTTTGTACTTCTTGCCCTAACATGTCTCTTTTTCAACAACTCTCCAATAAGTATACCATACATCACCCTCCTATGCTCCTTAAACTCCCTGTCCAGTACCTTGGTCTCCAACCAAAAAGTCACTCATTGACCACTGACTCCAGAACATCTTTGGACAAAGTCCCATTTAATCCTAGAGAGAAGAGCCCTTGGATATCTTCTGTCTGCACTAATCTATTCATTGGTTAAGTTAATGAAAATGGATGGTTCAAAGATGGAGAAGATAAACTCCTAGCCTTAAGAAACTCAGAGTCTAATGTAAAAACAAACCTCTGGGCAGTCCAGGGAAGGCTTCTTGGAAGAGGTGAGTTGAAATGAATGAGTGGGTGTGAGATGGGCAAAGGCTAGGGGATTCAAGAAACAAAAGCCCATGGAGGTGAGAAACATCAATGTGTAAGAAAAAGAAGCAGTTTGGTGTTTTTGCTGGGGTGCACATTTAGAAGAAGGAGGGCAAGAGTCAAGTCAGCGACTGGGTCATAGGGGCCTCTGTGTGTCATTCCAAGGGCTTGGATTTTTATTTGTAAGTTGAGGTAAGGATTAAAGTGTTTTAAGCAGACTAAGACATGGGAAAATGTGTTCACTTAGGTAGCTCTGTTTAGTTTTAGGCAATTTATAAAAGTTCACTGCCACTGGAATTTTAATTCTTATTCAACCACTTGTAATTAGGATCTGTTCAGAATTTTAAACATTTATGATTCTATTCTGATGCTCTATAGGACTTTTCATTCATTCTATTCTTAAGGAGTTAAAAATCTAGAGAGGAGAGACACAGTAGTCAGTACCCATTTACAGTGGTCTCTATCATTCACATAAACATTCACATGTACACAATGGAAATGAAGGTCCACGCGCTGATGTCGTCCTGTTTGCTCATTGGAACCTAATTACAATAAAAAATTGAATATAGTACTTAAACAATGAGACTTACTAAGAAGAGCTTTGTGTTGAAAATAATAATCTCAATAATATTAAATATGGTGAAATGTTTGTTTTTTAATTCAATGAATGTTTAAAAGTCACTGTTTAACAATTTAAAAATTAATCATTATTGAACTCAATACAATTGATTTAAAAAGTTATTCTAAGCTCTGAGTAATCATTTTTTCTCTGCATATCTTCTATCTGCCAAATTTTAAATGGATTAGTTCCTTGCTTCCTTTCTTTTTTCTTTAAATATAGATTTGGGGAAGGCATCAAAAATCTTTACCCAGAATTTCAAGGAGCCAAAACTGGTTAGCATTAGATGTCAACACATCTGAAATGTCAACACTTTTTTTTTTCTGGATGGTTTCCTGTGATTTGGAGCCCTGATTTTGAGAATAATTTTCAGTATTTCATTTTTTAAGTGTTTGCTTTCAAGGAGGATATTGCCTTTGAGGCTTTCTTAGCCTGTTAAATTCCCCAAAAGTAGAAAGCTTATGAAAAAGCCAAATTGCATGCTTATTTCTCCAGGGTCTCAGTCTCCTCTCAGAAATATACACTCTTGTACTAAACCTTCTGAAATTGTTGTTTTTTTGCACACACAGCTTATGTTTTCACACCAGTTCATAGATTGGGTAAAGGTGCCACTTCTGCCATTTCTATTTTGATATAACAGAATGACATGTGGGCATGTGATGTGGGAGGCTATGTGACTCTTGCCTTCCTTATATACAAAACAGGATAGAGTTCCTGCGTTTCTCCTTGGGTGGTGGGGGGAAGAAAAGATATTTTGCAACCTGATTTCTTGGTGGTTAATTTTCCAACAAAGTAGTATTTTGGGGGTGGGAGTGTGGGGCAAGCATGAAGGAGAATAAAATCTTTTTATTTTAAAAGCAACTAAGTTAAGATTACTTTTTTTTATGAAGAAGCACCATGGATCCACCCACCTATAATTAGAAAGCTTAGCTTATTGACATATTCACATTGCCCAAGACCCTGTCTAAAGGAGAATTTCAGTCTCTAGTACAGGATATAATTTTTATATGGTAAATATTTGATGAAAGGTTGAGAAGCATCCTAATGGGAGAGGGGTGGGAGCTCATCTAGGAAGGCACTGCTGAGGCTGGAAGACCTGAAACGATCACTGGGACCTGTTTCATTCAAACAAAACCAAAAAAAAAGCAAATTAAAACAAACAAACAGAGACAAAAAACTTTTGACAGTTAAACGCTTTGTATCCATCAAGACCTTGCTTAAATGAGGGAGACCCTGAGTCCATGTTTTCATGCTGGGGTTGGTGACACCTTGCTCTCTGGGTTCTAAGTGCTCTAAACAATATTATTTTTAGCCTTAAAGTTCAATGAAGTGTTGTTTGGTGGAGGAAGGGAGATCATTTGGTAGGGTCCCTTGAGAAAGTGCAAGCTTCCCCCAGGGTTTTCCTTTGCTTGCCTACCTTGATCAAGACCTGTCTGAGTTCTCGAGCAAAAGCATCAAGCATCCCTGCTTTCTGCTTTGGACTAGTGTATCCTCTATTTCCAGGAGGAGTGGAGAGATGATAAGGAACAAGTGTTTCTGTAGGTAAAAGAGAAATGCACTGACCCCATTTCCAGTGGTTGAGCTTCTCGCCAAATATGTAGATGCCGGCAGTGAAGACGTAGCTGAGAGAGAAGAAGGCTGCCAGACCCACTGGGCTGAGTTTGGCAAACACAGGATACACCCACGTACTCGTCTCAGAGTAGATCCAGAGGACCCTGCAGAAAATGATGAGTCACAATGATTAGGCCAGTAGTGGGGAGGGGGACTTTTCTTCTCAAAATCAACAGATTTTAGAGTCCAACCAAATGAAAGGAAGCAATGGAGACATTTGTCAACAGCTAAGGTGTTCCACACACCTACAGAAGTGAGTCTTTTCTGGATAGACTTGATTCAATAAGACATCCTATTTCATGGGCTGGGCTGGGCTATTTTACTTAATCTATTAAATTCAATGTTGGTACAAAAATACGGGAGGATACTGAATATAGCATTAGCCAGAGTGTGAGAGAATGTAAATTATTCCTTTCCTGAGAGGTAGGACCTGCTGAGACATTGAGCCTGCTAAGATGGCATCCACTGGCTGGCTTCAGCCAGACAAATGGGGTTTGCGTTTCTGTACCTTAGAGTCAGGTGTAGCTTTACTTTAGCTCTTTCAATCTGTTGGGATAGGAGGGACAGAGATTGAGCATTATTGCTCTAACACAATATGCCTGGAGTTTAATTGTTGGTTCTGATTTTACCTCATAGATATAGCTATGGATAGAGAGTTAAGTAGGAATGGATGAAATTACAGGAGGCTTAAATCTTTTTCATTAGAGAATTGAATATAAGTAAGCCAAAAGAAGGAAAGAAATGCTAGGAGAGGAGCCATAGTGTCTAAGTGAAGCCTACAAATTCAATTTTCTGGAAACCAACTGCACTAGAAGATATGAAAGCCTGAAATAACTCTTAAAATTAAAAGTGAGGAATATGATTTATCAGCTACAGCTTATGATTGGTTAAGAGTACAGAATCTGGGGGCTTGCCGAGTGGTGCATTGGTTAAGATTTGGCTTGGAATGCCAGCTCTGAGCAGCAGGGCCCTGGTTTGGATCCCACATGAAGGCCAGTGGTCCTGTGCCCTCTACAGCTAAGATGGTGAACAATAGCTCAACCCGGAGCTGGGTTGCAGTGAGTTGTTGGCGATGGCATAAACTGCAGCCCCTACTGCAGTGGGCTGCTGTGAATGGCTGGCAGCCAGTGTGAGCAGCCGGCAGCTGTTGTGAGCTGCCGTGAGCCGCTGTGAGCAGCCATCCAATGACCAGCAAGCGACTGCCTCACTGGGAAGAGCGCAATGATAATGCCAACATGGGCCAGTGAAGCGACGTCCTCCACAACTAGACTGAAGAACAAAAGGACAGCAACTTGTCTGTTCCCCTTCCCCGATTCCCCAATGCTGTTCCTTCCCCCAATTCCCCAATAAAATCTTAAAAAAAAAAGAGTACAGAATCTGGAACCAGGTTTCTGTGATTCAAATCCTAGTTCTGCCACCTATTAGTCATGTTACCTTCAACATATTATTTAACCTTTTTGTCCCCAGCACTCATGTGTAAAGTGGAGGTGAAAACATCATGTACCTTATAAGGCTGTAATAAGGACTGAAGGAGTTGAACACATGTGAAATAGAACAGTGCCTGGCACACTGCAATCCTTTAATGAGAGTTTAAAAGCTTCTCACCTCTGAGGATGGCACAGCGGGAGTCTTCTCAGCAACCTTTTTTTTTTTTTTGAGGCTGCTCATCTCTTGTAACAATTAGGATAGGCTAAGTTATGCTTCATAGACAACATTCAAATTTGGATACCCCAGTTATCAAAGGAGTTCAGATGGAAGAATGAAATTCTGTACTTAATTAAATTTTCATAAACCCAAGTGTGACCTTGGTTGTTTCAGATACTTGTTAAATGCTTGTGGAAGAGACAAGGGCTAATCTCAGAGCCAGAACTAAGGTGATGCAAGACAGGCAACTATGGTATGAAATTTAAGGGGCCATTCCTGTGAATCAAAGGACACAATCAACAGTGAAAATACTGGGCCGGCCGAGTGGTGCATTGGTTAAGAGCTGGCTTGGGACACTAGCTCTGAGCAGCAGGGCCCCGGTTCAGATCTCACATGAGGGTCAGTGACACTGCCCTCTACAGCTAAGATGGTGAACAACAGCTCGACCTGGAGCTGGGCTGCTGTGAGTCGCTGCTGACAGCGTAGGCTGCAGCTCTTAAGCTACCATGTGTGGCTGGCAGCCAGCATGAGCAGCCGGCAGCCAGTGCGAGCGGCCAGGAGCCTCCATGAGTGGCTGTCCAGAGGCCAGCGACCGATCTGCCTCACCCGGGAAGAGTGCAATGATAATACCAACATGGGCCAATGAAGCGACGTCCTCCACAACTAAACTGAAGAACAAAAGGACAGCAACTTGTCTGTTCCCCTTCCCCCGATTCCCTAGCACTGTGCCCCTCCCCCAATTCCCCAATAAAATCTTTAAAAACAAACCAGTGAAAATACAACCTATGGAATGGAAAAATATTAATAAATCACATATCTGATAGGGGAATAATATCCAGAATATATAAAGAAAACTTGTACAACTCAACAAACAACCCAATTAAAAATGGACAAAAGACTTGAATAGAATTTGTCCAAAGAAGATATATAAATGACCAACAAACACATGAAAAGATACTCAATATCACTAATAATTAGGGAAATGCAAATCAAAACTATAATGCAATACCACTTCACACCCATTAGGATGGCTACTATGAAAAAAACAGAAAATATCAAGTGTTGGAGAGAATGTGGAGAAATTGGAACACTTATGCATTATTGATGGGTATGTAAAATGGTGTAAATACTGTGGAAAACAGTATGGAAGTTGCTCAAAAAATTGAACACAGAATTACCACATGATCCAGCAATTCCACTCCTGGTTATATACCCAAAAGAATTGAAAGCAAGGACTCAGAGTCATTTGTAAACCTATGTTCACAGCAGTATTATTCACAATAGCTAAAACATGGAAGCAACCCAAGTGTCCATTTATGGATGCACAGATAAATAAAATGTGGTATATATACACAATGGAATATTATTTGGCCTTGAGAAGGAAGGAGATTCTGACACATGCTACAACATGAATGAACCTTGAGGATATTATGTTAAAATGAAATAAGCCAGTTACTAAAGGACAAATACTGTATGATTCTGCTTATAAGAGTCATCAAATTCATAGAGACAAAAAGTGGAATGGTGATTGTCATTCCACTGGAGGTGGGGAGTGATGGGGAGTTACTGTTTAATGGGGACAGAATTTCAGTTTGGGGAGAAACAACTTCTGGAGATGGATGGTGGTACTGGCTGTACATCAGTGTGAATGTACTTAATGCCACTAACCTGTATACATAAAAATGGTTACAATGGTAAATTTTACCACAATAAAAAATTTTGAGGCCTCACTCTCAGGGTCGCATGAGTGTAGAGTAGTTGGCCCTTCGTTCCTAACCCTGGCCCTATTAGTATCACCCTGTCCCTAACTTGTCTAGGTGTCCTTCTCATGTAGCCAGAACTTCACTAGACTGAAAAAAAATAATATTATTTCCAATAGTGGAATTTTGTGAATGTGCATTCCACAGACACGTGCACTTTAGAAGGATATCCACAGTACTTCTTTCCTGTATGGCTGCTTCTCATGTCCGGCCACAGAAAGCATAAGGGGTAGAAAGTAAATACTCTCAGGTAGGTAGGCCTAGGAGTTTGGGGTCAATGAGGAGATCCGAAGACATTCTAAATGAGTTGCATTAATTAGTTCACTTTGTTTACTTTATGTACTTGAAATTTGGGCTTCCTTGTTCCCATGCATATTTGTATAAGATAGTCTCAAATAAGGGCATTCTCCTAGAGCAGCGGTTCTCAACCTTCCTAATGCCGCGACCCCTTAATACAATTCCTCATGTGGTGGTGACCCCCAACCATAAAATTATTTTCGTTGCTACTCTATAACTGTAATTTTGCTACTGTTATGAATCGTAATGTAAATATCTTTTTGTTTTCCGATGGTCTTAGGCGACCCCTGTGAAAGGGTCGTTTGACCCCCAAAGGGGTCGCGACCCACAGGTTGAAAACCGCTGTCCTAGAGGCCTGGGAGGTTTCTGTTTATTCATGTTTGTTTCCTTCAGCATAAGGTTCTAGAAAAGAAAGTTTTGGAGGTAAGCTAATGAAGTCTGCTTTCACAGAGAAAGTACAAAGAAAGTCATAGGTGTGTTCACAGACAGTGAGACAAGCAATGAAAAATACAAATAGAGTACCAGGCAAGACTGCAGTTATTTGATGAAGGGCAGTCAGCAGAGAGGCCTGAGTGAGGAGATGGTCACACTTAGTTGGTACCACTCCTTTATGGCTTGCCTGAATATATATTGAAAGGAGAGAGGGAGAGGGAGAAAGAGAGGAGTGGGGAGAGAAGAGGAGGAGAATAAAAAGGAGGGTGAGCATGAGGGAGGGATGAAGGGAGGAAGAAAAGGAAGGAAGGAAGGAAGGAAGGAAGGAAGGAAAGAAGAAAAGGGAAGAAATCCAAAAGTGAACTCATCATTGTCCTCTATCTCAGTCAGTCTCAGCTTTCCCTTACCCCCCAGGTAAGAGCTCATAAACTCATATGTAAATGTTTCTCCAGGGCACTCATTTCATCACCTCAGTCCAGGCTCCTTCATCTCAGCTGGGTTTCTGTAATCGCCTACTCACTGGGCTTTCCTTCTCCTTTCAATCTACTTTCCATGCCATAGACCACCAATCATCTGATAAACTTTTTAAAAGAGAAACCTGTGCATGGCGCTCCCCTGCTTCCAGTGAATCTCTGTTGCTTTAGGAAAATACCCAAGCTGCTTCACCCAGCCTCCCTGGCCTTGCCCTGCCCAGCCGTCCACCCTCAGATCTGCAGGCTCCATATTATGGACCCCCTTCTGGGTCTTGATGAGCCCAGCTCTGCAGCTGCTGGGCCTTCACCCACGCTGATGTGTCTGCTTGGAACACCTGTGACCTTTTCTCCTCCGGGGACACACATCTGCTTGCTCTCTGCCTGGCTTAATTGTACTCATGCTTCAAGTTCCAGCTTAAAAATCAGTTTCTCCAAAAAAAGATTTCCTGAACATCCTTTCACCCCCGTTCAGTTAGGTTCTTATGCCATGTGCTTCCC